AAAAAAAAAAAAAACACCTCACTGTCATGGAATTGATTCTGACTCATAGCGACTCCTTTGGGTTTCCAAGGCAGTAAATCTTTACAGAAGTAGATTGCCCAGCCTTCCTTCCGCGGAGTAACTGGGGGGTTTGAACTGCCAACCTTCTGGTTACCAGTCAAATGCCTTAGGCACTACGCCACCAAAGCTCCTTATGAATGTCCAAGAGGAAGTTAAATAAATATGCAAGGTGGCATATTGGAACTTATTTTCCATTTCAAAACCAGTCATTCCATAATATACAATTGGAGAAATCCTGCTAATAAGTTTGAGGAAAACTGTTCTTCCAAGCATCCCTTACTCGCTACACTACTTACACCTAATGCAAGGGGCTGTACTTACCTTTGACCCTTGTGTGATCTAAATTACTTACAATCTACTTGTTTAATGTTTGTGGTTATACATCTGTTTTTCATAAAATTAGCATTGCTCTTTATAAACTCAAAAAAGTTACAAACAGTATTTGCATAGCTTCCTACCTTAATCTAGAACAATAAGGCACTTTTAATAATTTTTTTTATAAAAAAAAACTTTACTAGTTCCTTATTAGTGAGTTTAAATTATAGCCCACTATAAAGCCATTCGGGAACTCTGGTAGCATAGCGCCTAAGGCAATTGACTGCTAACCAGAAGGCTGGAGGTTCAAACCCACCAGCCACTCTTCGGAAGGAAGGTTGGGCAATCAATCTACTTCCATAGCGATACTGCCTCAGCAACCCCAGGAGGAGTCGCTATGAGTCAGGTCTGACTCGACAGCAGCACATAACAACAACATAAAGCCATTCTTCATCATTCCTCCTTTTCACAGCTCACGCTCTGTCTTTAAAAACAAAATAAACTGCAATGGAGATACTTAGAAAATGGCCATCATCCATCATCATAGTCGCATATTCACAAAAACTTAAGCTTTCTTCTGGAATTTTTAATCCTTTCCATTAATGCTTTTTCCATGCAGGGAAGCACTATTTTCATTACAAGACCATTGAGACATAAAGTGCTGACATAGACAGCAAAAGAAATTCAATGAAAATCTTGGTAATATCAAATTTCCACTTAAGATATTTAACCAACAATGTATTTTTTTTCCCAACAATGTTTAGACTCACAAATCAGCAGTTCAAATACCTCACACTTGCATAACACATCCTTTTTTAATAATTTTAATATGAAATGTGCTATGCTGGTAAAAGTGAACAGATTTCTAGTAAACCCATACAAATTAATGGTCAGTGATTAGGTCACAGATATAACATCATTAAACAGCTGCTTCTCACCCCTGTAGTGCCCAGTCACTTACAGGGAAGTGAATTAGATGTTCAAACTAAGACTGAAACCCTTCACCCTTTCCTGATGAGAGATTTCAGTTTATTTACTTTTTTAAAAAAGGTGTAATTAGATATCACACAAATATTAGCATCATAACTGCTCTGTACATTGAAACCCAATTTAGGTATCTTCCAGTTCGTAGCTGATAATCAGTCACCTCAATTTTCAAATTTTCTTTTGAAGTGCCAAGACAAAGCCAACACTTCTCAATGCTCTTTTAACAAACAAAAATCATAAAAATGAAACATCGTATTTTCAGGAAAAAGCCAACAACCTACCTTTAAACTAGACTCATAGTCTGTGTTCACTTTGAACATAAGCCCAAGTCGTAAATGAATTTCCTTGGCTCGACAAAAGCTGGGATCAACATAAAGCACCTCTTGAAATGCTTTAATTGCCCTGTAAGAATACAGACATAATATAACTTTATATGAATTTTCAGTAGGTAGAAGGGTAGAACTTCTTTTTATGCAATACATTTTTTTAAAGAAACGCCAATTTTATAAAAATGACATGAATGAATAGTTTTTTTTAAAAAAAAAAAGATTGGAAAGCTACTCTTGGTTCTTTTATATAATTCAATTGTGTAATCTAACTTAATATAAAGGGAGAAAGGAAGATCAGATCAATTTATTGTTATTCAAACAATACTTTATAGTGCAATAAAATTCTCAGTGTAAAGTGATTTCATTTTTACTGATATTTGTGGGGAGATAGGGAGGACTCGCAGGTTTTGGTCTAAGGGAAGAGGCATTAATCCTGTTTCTAGTATGTTCCATATGTGTTTCATATTTAGGTTTAAAATCCAGTTAGACCTTATTTTTGTATATATTGTTGTTACTTGCCCTCAAGTCGGACCCAACTCATAGCGACCCTTCATTGGGTTTCCGAAGCAGTATCGCTACGGAAGTAGATTGCCCAACCTTCCTTCCGAGGAATGGCTGGTGGGTTTGAACCGCCAGCCTTCTGGTTAACAGTCAAGTGTCTTAGGCACTATGCTACGAGAGCTCCCATTCTTGTATATAGTGTGAGGTAACAACAACAAAAAAAAAAACCCCAAACACACTTCCATTGAGACAAATCCAACTCATAGTCCTAGTGATCCCTCCTGGGGTTTCCGAGGCAGTATCACCACAGAAGTAGATTGCCCAATCTTTCTTCCAAGGAGTGGCTAGTGGGTTTGAACCGCCAGCCTTCTGGTTAGCAGTCAAATGCGGAGGGATCAGTTTTTGTTTTTTCTATGCTGATATCTAATAGTCCCTGAACTATTTGTGGAAAAGACCACCCTTACCTCACAGCTCTGCAATATAATCTTTCTCCTAAATTAAATGTCCATATTCATTTGAGGTCTATTTTCTCGGTTCTCTATTCCATTTTACTTTCCACTGGTCTATCAGTTCATCTTTGCCTCTAGTTCACATTGTACCTTCTATAACAGGTCTTGATTAACAGTAGAACAAATTCCACTAAATGTACTTTCAAATTATTTAACGTAATCATATAAATACCTACTCAAAAAATGAGTATTAAAATAATGACCAAAATATCTATTCTGAATTTCTAAAGTGTGAGATATCAGATGTTAGTTTTTAACTACCTTTAACATGATTTTAAAGATTTCTTACTAAATACAAGCTAAAACAGTCTTTGCAAAACTTTTTATCTATTCTCTTCCTCTAAATACCTATTTAGACTCTTCCAAAACAAAGTCAACAGTCTATACAAAAAGTTCAAAATGATACCACAAAATAGAAAAAAAAACAATATACCATATACCTTTAGTAACACTATTTTGACTGATTCACACAATCTTCTTTTTCCCAAAAAAATTATGTCTTTCTACATGTTCATTATAAAATTTAGAGTTCTAAAAGACAGTGTTTTTTGGGAGAGGGGAAGGATCCATAGGTCTGTGAATATCTTTACACTGAGTTATGACAGTATTTAACTTTCTTCTTGAAGAGAAACTCAGCATCCACCTGTTAGAAAGCTTTTAAAAATGGGTGGGATATGTCCAAATGTTATTATCTGGTGTATATAGGTTGCTTTGACCCAAGTAAGGTAAGTCAGAGAACTGAGAAGAAAGAACTGGGGCAAATTACCATCTCATTCCTATTTCTATCAGACATTAAGATATTCTTCTATATACTGCTAAGAGGTTCCTTTTACACTTTTCTCAAAGCTTTCTTATAGGAGTAGGTGCAGCTTCACCAGCCTCTATTTTTCTGGCCCTGTCCAGTGCTATGATCAGGAGCTCTGGTAGTGTAGTGCCTAAGGCACTTGACTGCTAACCAAGAGGTTGGCGGTTCAAGTCCACCAGCCACTCTTTGGAAGGAAGGTTGGGCAATCTACTTCCGTTGTGATACTGCCTCAGAAACCCAAGGAAGGGTCACTATGAGTCGGGTTCAACTCTATGGCATATAACAACAACAGTGCTATGATCTTCTAATAGAACAGGGAATTTTGTAGGTACACATATGTGAAGGACAGGTGAGGGCAGCATCAAATGGTTCGGTAGAGAACAACTGCTTCAATGTAATAAATGATGTCAATAAAAAACATATGGTATGGCTAGGAAGGGGTATGCATGGGCTTTTGGAAGCTTTATAGCCAAGTTTTATTTCTTGTTCCAGGTGATGGTTATATGAATGCTTACTCTGGTAGCGTAGTGCCTAAGGCACTTGACTACTAACCAGAAGCATGGCGGTTCAAACCCACCAGCCACTCTTCAGAAGGAAGATGGGGCAATCTACTTCCATTGTGATACTGCCTCAGAAACCCAAGGAGGGGTTGCTATGAGTCGGGTCCAAACTGATGTCACATGACAACAACAACAACATGATAATAACCTGTTAAGATGTACATTTATATTGTATGCATTTTTATTTAAGTATGTTATACTTAGGAGCTCTGATGGCATAGTGACTAAAGCATTTGACTGCTAACCAGAAGGCTGGCAGTTCAAACCCACCACCCACTCCTCGAAAGGAAGGTTGGGCCATCTACTTCCGTAGTGATACTGTCTCAGAAACCCAAGGAGGGTTCGCTATGAGTCGGGGCGACTCCACAGCAGTGAGGTTTATTTTTGTTTGTTTGTTTTTAATGTTATACTTTGTAATAACGAAAAGGTTTTTCAAGAAAACAATGAGGCATAACTCTTTCTGCTAAGGGACTTTAGATTTTGGCTCTATTACAATTTCTATTTTCAAACATTCATTAATTTCTTTTAATGAGAACAATGACTTTGTAACTAAATGATGAAAGCTCTTTTTTTTTTTTTTTTTAAATCTAGCAGAGGCAAAAACACAAGTCCATTACTTAGACTTGTCTAAAACATTACAATGGCAGATTTGGAATAGAAAGATCTCCAGAGTTCTGCTCCTATCCAACTGAATTTCTCCTTGGTTAATCTTTTTTCTCTAATGTTGTAGATAATATTTCATAAAGTCGCAATTCACCACAACTTATTACATGGATTAGAAAACTCTCCAATGGAATGGGTAAGTTTCTACATGTGTTGATGATAAACTCAGGCAGGCCTAAGTCAAAGATATGAAAGAAAAACAATACAAGTGAAAGACAGAAAAGGGAAAGCAGGGGAAAAAAAAAGGAGAAAGAGAAAAGTTAGGAAAGGATGTAAGGAAGGATGTATGAGAGAGGGAGGGAGAAGCACAGAGAATCAATAACAACTCCTCAGGAGAAATAATAATTCTCCTCTTTGTTTCTATTTCTAGGCTTTTCCCTAACCCTATTATTTGTGGATGTGTTTTTTTTACTGCATAGGTACCTTTAGTACACAGACATCTTATCCACTTTGTTCACAATGTCACATAAGTGCAAAGAAACATGGGGTCAGTATATTAAGTTCTCTAGGTGCATTAACACTGGAAATAACGAAAGAATGATTAACTAGTAAGGACATGCTCCAAAACACACAAGGACTGGGTCATACTACATTTTCTCTTTAAGGCCTATTAATAGTGCCCATGACAAGGCTGTGGCCAATAAATATTGTATCATCATGTTTTCCTCAGTTTTGTCCCAAACCCAAACTAAACCCACTGCCATAGTCTATTCCAATCCACAGTGACCATATGGGACAAAACAGAACTACCCTGTTGTTATTTGCCATTGAGTCGGATCCGACTCATAACGACCCTTCCTTCCCAAGGCAGTTATCACTACAGAAGTAGACTGCCCAACCTTCCTTCCGAGGAGTGGCTGGTGGGTTTTAACCGCCAGCCTGCTGGTTAGCAGTCAAGTGCCTTAGGCACTACGCTACTAGAGCTCCTCAGAGGGTTTCTAAATGCTATAAAACTTTCCTGAAGCACATTGTCTCATTTTTCTCCTGCAGAGTGGCTGGTGGGTTCAAACCACTGACCTTTTAGTTAGCAGCACAATGTTTTAACCACAATGTCACCAGAGCTCCTCTTTATCCCAAAGTTCACCTCAAATTCATTTTTTTATAAACTCGATCTTCAGTATCTGTGGTATCATTATGTTACTGAAAGAGTCTGTAAGGACTTTCCTTGCTCTGCTCTGGCTGGCATGCATTTCTTCAAATAAGTGGCTCCTGTGATTGCTTAATCACCATAATACTGTAAGTCAAATCTCCATATTACATTTAAGATCTTACCATTTTTTATTCCCAGTTATGCTCTAACCTTGCTCCTAATCAGCTGTGATCTGACTTATCATAGTAATAATGTCTTTAGGCAAATACAGGCCCTCTTGGAGGCCCTGCTTCTCCTTACTATATTCTTCTAGATGGTCTCAAGCATAGCAATGATTCTGAGGATAGCACAGGAGCAGGCAGTGTTTCATTCTGTTGTACATGATGTCACTGAGTTAGAACCAACTTGACAGCAACTAACAACAGCAGTTCACTCTACATTCACTATGAATTATCTTCAAAGCTTACCACCCAAACTCAAAAGCAACTATTGTTTTGCATGGTGTTAACTGGCAGTTATGTCCACTCTATAATCAAATCATATCATTCTATTTATTGCTGTACTATCTCTAGCTTTTTCATGTCTAGACCTTGAGGCTTAGAGTCTTTTATTTTATAAATAATTCAATGAAAGGTTTAACAGATGTCTACTGATGCCATTATTTTAGTTAGCTGTTTGGATTTCTTGAGGAGGTGGTTAGTAAACTGGATGCCACAGTTTTTTTCACTAATCAGTTCCCCTTATCTAACACAAAATGCATAAATTATCTAAGTTCATTTTCTTTTCTAAATTTGTCCATCTTTCTTTCCCATATACTTCTTCAGTTTTCCCCACCCATGGCAAAGGGGGGCGGGGAGGAAGGGAGAGATGGAGGGAGGAAGAGAGGGAGAAAGAAAGTGGGGTGGGTGTGAGGGAATGGCAAATAGGCATCACTCATGCAACATTCTAATCTTGGACAACATTTTGCATCATCTATATATCACTAAACTACAAGTAGCCAGAACAAAGGCTCTCTGAAACACAAACTAGACTAAAACACCAACCCACAGAATTTATGCTGACTGCACAATTCTGACAGAGAATTTTAGAATATAAGAAATAGTTACCAAATTAAAAAAACTCTTAAGATCCGAGACTGGAAAGATTTATAGTTTTCAAATACTTAAAGCATATTCACTACTGAAACAAAACAAATGTATATTGCAGTATATATCATTGTGTGTGTATGTGTGTGTTTCCTTTAATCTGAAAACCTTCCTATAGGGCTAATATTGCTGAATCTGGTGATATGCTGAAGAGACAGATGATCTAATTCCATAAAACTTCATAATAATAAAAGGGAGAACATACTAGCTTTGAATCAGTAACAATGTACACACACACACACACACACACACATAGTTAAACATACATACTAGGAAGTTTAAAGGTTCTTTTTTAATGAGACAGAAAGATTTGATGAAGTAATCAAAAAAACACATTGGTTAAGATCTTAAAATGTGTAGAAGGAAGGAAAGACAGACCAAATAAGAGTAAACACCTTGAACAAAGTCACATAGGCAAAAAGTACTTAAGGTGTTTTCAGGGAAATGTTAGTGCAGTATGATTGGCACAAAGAACGCATTCAGAGTACAACTGTTATACTGTAAAACCCTTACCAAGCAACTACTCCATGCTTTCTAATTTTGTGACTGTTCAAGAAATAGTAAAAGGAGAAATTTGAGGTACAGAGTTCAGGGCAGGGGGTTGGGGGGAGACGACGATGGACACTTAAATGGTAACAGAGAAACCACATAGCAAGGGTAAACTCGTATACAAGGTGTGAGACATGCCCTTATAGGAAGCTGCTACAAAACAGAAACTCAAGACATGAGAAAATGGTGGTAACTAGGATAGAATCAAGAGAACAGAAGACACCAATTAATACAGGCATTGTGCATTGTCCTTATATCATTCAGTATCTTTTCTTAAGTCACGTGAAGGATACAGAAATCATGTAT